AGAGAGAGAGAGAGAGAGAGAGAGAGAGTGTGTGTGTGTGGCAGAAGGAACCACAACACAAGGGGAACAAAGGAGTGGAAGGAGAGAAGGTGATGATTTGTATGGTGTTACATCCAGTGCTCCACCGGGGTGGGGTGGGGGGGCTACTGAGAAGATAAAAGGGGAAGAGGGGAAAAGGGACAAAGAGTGAAAGGCAGGAAGGGAAGAATGGGGAAGAAAGAGGAAGGAGAGCAAGAGAGGGGGGGAGAGACAGAGAAAGGAAAAGGGAACTAGGAAGAAGGAGGAACAAGAAAGAAAAGCACCACTCAACACCTGGATTTCCCTCATTTAATCCCTTCACCCCCAGCCCTTTGCAACTGTGTGCCCCACCCCAGACACTTCGGGGTGGGCTCTGGTACCTTTTCCCCCGGCGTGACCGATATCCTCCAGACGCAGTGCACATGTGCAGGGTATCCATTGGGGAACTCTGGGGAGGAGAAATTCCCCTGACTGTCCTGGAGGGTCTCTCCACAGGCTGGGAACAAAACAGGATAGGGCGGAGGGTTAAAAACCCAGCAGCAAAGCCACCCCCAGCACCCAGCCAAATCATTGCGTCCCTCACAAGCAGCCCCAGTCAGAAGGAACAAAGGCCGACGGACTGCCACCCACACCCCCATAAATCTGCCAGAGCAGGGAGTGAGAGAGGCAGATGGATAGGGGGTAAGAGACATCCAAATCGGAGAGATGAAAGAATTTTATTCCAGTCTTCCCCCAAGTCCAGCACAAGGGTAGGGAGACCCCAGACAGACAACATATCCGAGATCAAACTCTGGATCCAAGCTACTTGCTCCCACGGTTACAAGGGTTAATGTGTTGCTAACAGCTCCCTGCCCTCCCAAAAGCAGTGCCTTGAGTTTTCCATCTGCAACCCTCCCCGTGCCAGCTCTGTGAGCGTGAGCAGAAGGTATCCGGGCTGGCTGACTTTAGGGTCTCTCCTGTTTATAGTGGAAACACACAGGGACGTGTTACTGGCATGTATTCTCAAGGTGCACGACAAGCCAAGGCTTCTGAAAGGGTTTGTGACAGGAGGAGCTGTATGGCCGGGTGGGCAGGGGCGCCGAAACAATTTGTATAGTGTCGAGAGACATTGAATCAAACTGTAAACCCTGTATATGATGGAATCCACTTCAAGCCAAGGGGTGCGGCGGCACCCCCCCAGCGCCTCTAGTTCCAGCACCTATGGGGAGGCTGGGTACCACTAGCAGCAGCAGGTGGAATGAAGTGTCCAGAGCTGCCAGGTTTGTATCAGGGAGGAAAAGCAGCAGTGGGATGAAGACAGGAGCTAGAGTCTAGGTGCAGGAAGAGCTTCTGAATAATAGCTGGGTGCGAGTGGGGGATGGTCGCAGGGTTGCGTGTGGGGCTGTTTCTTTAGAAGGATTATGTGGATTGGGGTAGTGGCGGGGAACTAAAGCTATAGGGAACCTTAGAAACCCCAGGGCCTGCTTGGGGTCTGACTCTGAACTCCCAGCGTTCTGACCAGTCTGTGGTCCTGATGCAAAACCAGGTGAACTTCACACATGCGCCAGGTATACCCCAAAACTCTTTGCTTTTGCACTGCTGTTCCGGGGACTCCAGCCTCCTTCTGTGGGCCCAGCAGCTCTGAACAGTCTGGACTCCTGATGCTGTAATGGGACTGGAGGTGCCTTTAGACCCGGAGCCCCATTCCAAGGGAGCACAGATCAAGGGAGGCAAGTACCCATAGGAAATGGCTCAACGGACCACTAAAGCGCTGAAGGCGTGCTGGGGAGCTGATCCTGGGGACAAGGAGAGGGTGCACTCTGCAGCCCTGGGAAGTGTTCCCACAGGACCGTACGGCACAGCACAACGTGCTCCCAGTTACTGTACAGACAGAGAATTGGGCCAGGCTCGCCTCTCTGGACTGCCAGAGTGCATGCTCTGCCCCTTGGTAGCTCTCACAAACTCCGGCATCCCATCCAGAGGGAGGTTGCCACAAGATCTAAATGCAGAGTTCAGGGATGTTTGGATCAGGCTCAACAACCAGTGGCTTTCAAAGATCCCATCCCAAAAATAGACCCCCTCTCCACCCCCCAAGCAGCACATTGCAAAGGGGACAATTTATCCCCCTTAGCCAGGCTGAATCACCTTGGCTGTCATGCATCTGACAAAGTGGGTATTCACCCACAAAAGCTTATGCTCCAATACTTCTCTTAGTCTATAAGGTGCCACAGGACTCTTTGTCGCTTTTTACAGATCCAGACTAACACGGCTACCCCTCTGATACTTGGCTGGGAGTTGGCCCTGCATTCCTGCAGAAGTGCACTTCCAAACCTGATGTTTAACACACACACCCAACCCCTCTGGCTGCATTGCTCCAAGGGAAATCTCCGTCTTTTGTCTCTGGGCTTTGCTTCTTGTCACCCAAATAGCAGCACTGGCCTTTTTAAGATGCATCCCCCTCACCCCCCCAATCAAATCAATAGCCTGGACTGAAGCTCCCAAGTAGCCATGGAAACCCAACCTGGTGCCATGTTGCCACAGCAACAGAAGTCCCAACTTTAAAATGGAAAATTAAACCTAAGAGTTTTCGTGTTGCCCCCCCCCCCGCCCCCTCACTCAAGTCTCAGCCTTTCCAGCAGAGCACCATGGATTGAACGCTCTCCTATAAACAATTTCCCCCTGCTTTCCAGCTCCAATAGCCACCAAGCCAGACCCTCAAACCCAGCCAGGGGAGAGCTGCATCCAAGTGCCAATTAAGGCTTTCCAGGAGCTGCATCTGCACTTATGCCCCCGTGGCAGCCCCGCCTCCATCAGGACAGGAGTCTCCCCCACACACACACCCTGCCACGCCATGCCGTGGCCAGCCAGCCAGCTGGGCCCATGACAGGTTTACTACTTAGCACTATCTGGAGCTAGCCCAGCACTACCATCTGGAAGCCACATGATCTAGTCGGCCGTGGCGAAGCTGAGCAACGTTTCAGTACTGCTGTCCACGGGCCAATACATTCTTCCTCACCCCCCTGAGTGTGGAGCCAGCACTGGGGACTGTGTTGATGGAGCAAGATTAAAGGTGAAATGTAAAAGATAATTTCAGAATTGGGGTTTGAGCCTGTCCCTCCCATGGACAAAGGAGGCTTGCACTCTTTTTAATAATAATTTTCCCTGCTTGGTTTCTAACCGTAGAAATATCAGCAATTTCCACTCTGTTCTGCCCTGAGTTTGCTGGAGAACCTCTAGAAGGTCTCTTGGGGGTTCTCACTGCAAGGGCCAGGCAAAGGTGTTATATGTTTAACAAAGACTCCCTTTCTCCAAGAGGCCAATTAGGCACTGGAGTTAAACAGGAACTAATGATAAACAAAGGGCAAAAAATCCATGTAAAAGGACAAAACTCCCATGAAGCCAATGGAGACAATTTGGCACAAAAAGTTCTAACGTCTTTGACTAAAAATCCCTTCTCCACTCAATTGCCCAACTTGTGCTCTCCTTGCCTATGTGATGTCATAGTTCTCCAGTCCTCCATAGAGCCTTCCACCTGAGAGCGGACCCGAATTTCGATTTAAAACAAACAGAAGAAGAGCTGTCACTCCTCCTTACTTTGTGATTAATCAACAAAACAAAAACAAAATAAAACAAAAACAAAGCTCCTTTTAGGCTTCCTTCTCCATTATAAAGAAGCAAAATAAGGCACATGTCTCATTTTATTCCACTGTAAAAATTATCTCTAAGCAGCAGGGATTTCTGCAGGGTCTGCTCCTGTCCTGAATCAGGGTCCATCTAGATTTCTGGATCTCGGTCTGCTATCTGTAGTGTACTTAGATATCACACACATTTGTAATGCCTCGGTCACCATAGCATCTACCATAGATGCCCTGCAAATACATTACCCATTTCTAGCACCTTCACCTGAGGATCCTAAAGCACTTTGCATACATTGATGAATTCAACCTTGCACTCCACTCCCCTCTGGCCCAAGGAGCTTGGTATTAACCTCATTTCATAGATGGGGAAACTGAGGCACGGATAAGTGGAATGACTTGCTCAAGCCCAGTCAGTGACAGAGGCAGGAATAGAACCCAGGTGCCCTGGCTCCTACACAGCATTGTTCTTTGGCTCACAGGGCCAGGTTCAGATCTCAGGCTGCACTGGGAGTAACTCCGCTGACTTTCTCTCTCTGTTCCCCATCTGTACAATGGGGATCTCAGTTGTTCCTTTGTCTGTCTTGTCCATTTACATTGTGAGCACTTTGAGGCAGGGGCCATCTCTTATTCTGTGTATGTACAGCACCGAGCGCAATGAGGCAGCCAATTAGAACTTGTTAGGAGATTCAACAGTGTCTCCCCCAGCCGTGGACAACTGCAGCAAAATCGACTCATTCTCACTGACATTGCAGAACAATATTCCGATTACTAACCCCGGATGGGCCACGTGGTCACACCATGCACATCAGGAAAACCATCTGGAAGATACTCGATTTGATGCCTGCAGGAAGCCCCAGGGAAGACAGGAGACTGACAGCTGTTGGCCAGCCTGTCTTCTCCATTAACACCCTGTCAGCTGGGAGTGGGGGAAGCTGGTGAGGCAACTGTCACAAGGCATGTGTCTCCAGGGCTATTTTTCGTGGGTGGCACTGCAGAGCCCCCTTCTGTTTGCCTGACACGTGCTTTGGTTCTTCGTAACTTCCTCCATTTGCAGCAACCCACAAGGGGGAAGGTTTATAACAGGGCTTGCCGACCTCTCTCAGGTGGGCTCCAGAGAAAGCAGCAGAAAGGGCCCATCTAGGGCTCGGGAAACTCAGCAGATTTTTATCATCTTTATCTTCATTCTGTTTTGACTGAATTTAGGGGAAATGGAGTGGTCCCTGAAGTGATCAGCACCAGTTAGAGCCAGGCAAAACGAGGGTGGGCTGCAAGTTCCCTACACACAACTCTGCCGGAGCACTTCAATCCTGTCCCACTGCACCTGTCGCTATTCCAGCTCTGGGCTACCCACCCTACCTCCGTCAATGCACCTCACTCCTGACCCTGCTATCCGAGCCCCGTGCTCCTCACACACTCAACTCTGCCAGTAGCTCCCCCTCTGCTGCACCCCCCCCATTCCCTGGCACTGACTCATCATTCCCTTCAGAAACGTTCCCACTGAACTCCTTGGTGGAAAAACAAGCCCATTCTGTTTACAAGCCTTTGACCTCTCTGTGAATATAGAGGGTGAGCGAGGCTGGTTGTCTGAGATCTCCAGGCCCGACAAGGAGTTAGGAGTCAGATGGGAACCAGAAGTTTCACACACTCCCAGCTCGTCTCTTGACTACTTGTCCCTGCCTTCCTTTCTGACATCTCTTTAATTGCTGGCGCCAGAACCGGGGATGGCTGGATGGTCTCCAAAGCCTTGGTGAAGATGGGAGCTGTCGGTCCAGACTGGGCTCTCAGACCTGGGTTATGTCATGCTATTTCCATTCATAAAGCAATGGGAAGCGGTCAGATCAGAGCATGTCATCAGAACCCGGGGGACATAACACACAAGGAAGGGGTTGGGACACCAGGCTCAGCTTACTCCAGCTGGTGTTACCAAATCGGAGGCTGTGATTCCATTCCCAGTGGAACTCCCTACGGGTCACTGACTCATTCTCTGACCTCTAAACTCCCTTCTGAGTCGTCCTAAGCAAAGATTTTACATTCATGCAGCTAGGAGACAAACAAAATAGGTGTGTGGCTCAGCTAGAATAAAAAATACACTACAGACCTATAAAGAATGCATACTACACTCTGATTGTGCTCACAGCAGTGTGTATTTGAGCTGGGTTTTGTTTTTTCTAAATTTCTCTCTCGCGCGCTATTTATTTATTTCCCTGGTTTTATTATTTATTTTTCTTAGAAGTTATGTCAACAAATTTTTTTTTGAAAAGGTAAAAAATTAGTCATCCCATGGTTGATTGAAAACCAGGGAGAATTGGAGAAAAAAATTGTCAATTTTTTTTGGTCAAAAATTTGAAATTCTGACGAATTTTTTGGTGGAAATTTCAAAATTTGAACAATTTCAACTGGAAGGGTTATGTGGTTAAGGTTTCCTGGGGTCTAAGGTTCAATTCCTGCCTCTGCAATGGACTCCCTGGGTGACCTTGCTGTGCCTCAGTTTCCCCTCTGTAAAATGGAGACAGTCCCCATTTTCCTATTCTTTGTCTGCCTCCTCTATTTAGATTGCAAGCTTTTCAGGGCAGGCACTGTCTCTGACTTATGTGTATGTACAGCACCTAGCACAATAGGGCCCCAAGCTCAACTGGGATCTTGGATGCTACTGTAATACCAGTAATAATAATACTGTATCAGGTCAGGCTATGTTGCCCTTTTCCCCTTGATCCCAGCACCTACCCAACCCCCACCTTGGATACTGAGTAGCCAGTGGTTCTTACCTGGACATCTATAAAGCTTGCGTGCCTGATCTATGTCCCCTTTGCTCAGCCGAGTCCGCTGGCCGATGTGGGGTACCACCCCGTTCACATTGTATTTGGGCTTGATGGTGTCAAGGAAAACCCCCCTGGAACAAGAGCAGAGAGGGGTGAGGAGAATGGATGACACCAGTTACTCAGCTCCATAGCAAAGCGGCACCTGCGTCAGAAATTCACATTTCATCGGCTCCATGCAGGGCTCCCCTGCTGCCCAAACTGGCTGCAGAGCAGGGAAGGTTCCTGCCCTCCTCTCTGAGCACGCTGCCTCGGTAGCATGCCCAGGCCCAGTCTGAGAGCCTAAGTGAGGCTCAGTGGGCATGCAAGAGTCCAGGTCCGCTCATGTCTAAGCTGTACATGGCCACAGCGAACGTCGCTCACTGTGCTTGGAGAGAGGCTGGAGTCAATGGAGTTATCCCAGAGATGAACATGGCCCAGACCCCGACTGGCCACACAGTCAAAGAAGGTGCCACAAAAATTCAGCTCAATTATTTCCTGGAATGACTGGCGGATTGAAGGGGGGAGAAGTACACCAGTGGCCCGCTCAGGAGACAGTGCAGCTTCATTGTGGGAGATTTTAGGACCAAGTGGGTGGAAGAGAAAAGGTGGATGGAGAAGCAGATGGGAAGGAAAAGCACCGACAAAGGCGAGAGGAGCAGAACTCATACCACAGTAACGGCCCCAAAGGCTTCAGGGAACCCATACTAGTACTGTTACTATAGTACTATTAGTAGTGCAGTATTACAAGTAGCACTGTGTATTAGAGCTAGGATTAATTAACATATTAGTATTAGAAACAGTAATAGTAGCATTAATACTCCTATCAATAGCATTGAAAACTATCTTAGAAATGTTAAGTAGCATTGGTAGTTGTATTTCTACAACTATTCTCAGCAGTGTTGCAACTTATCAGTAGCATTCACAGTATTGGCTAAGCAGCAGTTCTGCAGAAAAGGATCCGGGGATTACAGTGGACAAGAAGCTGGATATGAGTCAACAGTGTGCTCTTGCTGCCAAGAAGGCTAACGGCATATTGGGCTGTATTAGTAGGAGCATTGCCAGCAGATCGACGGACATGATTATTCCCCTCTGTTCAGCACTGGTGAGGCCACACCTTGAGTATTGCATCCAGTTTTGGTCTCCCCACTGCAGAAGGGATGTGGACAAATTGGAGAGAGTCCAGCGGAGGGCAACGAAAATGATCAGGGGGCTGGGGCACATGACTTATGAGGAGAGGCTGAGGGAACGGGGGTTATTTAGTCTGCAGAAAAGAAGAGTGAGGGGGATTTGATAGCAGCCTTCAATTACCTGAAGGGGGGTTCCAAAGAGGATGGAGCTTGGCTGTTCTCAGTGGTGGCAGATGACAGAACAAGGAGCAATGGTCTCAAGTTGCAGTGGGGGAGGTCTAGGTTGGATATTAGGAAACATTATTTCACTAGGAGGGTGGTGAAGCACTGGAATGGGTTACTTAGGGAGGTGGTGGAATCTCCATCCTTAGAGGTTTTTAAGGTCCGACTTAACAAAGCCCTGGCTGAGATGATTTAGTTGGTGTTGGTCCTGCTTTGAGCAGGGGGTTGGACTAGATGATCTCCTGAAGTCTCTTCCAACCCTAATATTCTATGATTTTATGAATAGCAGTATTAATATTATAGCACCATAGTGCTATACATCCTATTAGCATTGCTACGGTCAGCAGTATCGTCAGTTATCGGTAGCATTAGTACCAGCCATGGCATTGCTACGTTCAGCAGTATCGTCAGTTATCAACCAGAGGGAAGTTTGCTTTGACACCAGCCCCTTAATGGAGCTGGGGCAGCAGCTTGGGGAGCAGGAGGGAGACAATTCTGGAGGAGCTGTGCTGCTTTGGGCCAGGTTGACAGGAGACCATAACAAACACATGGCTTTAAATCAGCCATCCAGGGATAACAATCCTGAGTGTGTGGGGAAAGGTGCTGAGGGGAGGGGGCTGAAATTGAAGTAGGAGGAGTGCAACGGGCAGCAGCACCACTCCTAGCTGAGTGCAGCTGGGGGGGCGGGTCACGACGCTGTCTGTGCCGGTTCTGGCCCGGCTTGTGGGGACCACATCAAGGCAGCTGAGTCCGAACTCTCTAATACGTGGGCTTGCTTCCTCCCCTGGGACTGTGTGTGGGCGTCACACACCGCGCCCCACAAAGGGTGGCACAGCTGTAAAGTTCCAGGCGGAGGTCAGCTCTGTTCTAGGGAAAAAAAGGGGCAAGCTGCTAAAAACAGCTCACACGCCCCTGTAATTAAAGTGCTCCTTGTATATGTGAAGGAAAGTGAGTCAAACAAGCTGGAAGCCCGTAGCGACGGAAGAACAGGATTGCATGCAGCTGGTGGGGGGACAGGGGCAGCTAACTCATCTGCCAGTCAGAGATTGAGACCTGGGGTGCAGTGGGAGCAGCGGGGCTGGGGTGGGGTGGTGCCATCTTCCAATTAGGGTAAGTCTTGTGAGGGGAATGCGGTCTAATGATTAGAGCAGAGGGGGTTTGGAGCTAGGACTCCTGGGTTCTATCCCTAGCTCTGGGAGGGGAGTGGGGTCTAGTGGTGAGAGCAGAGGAGGTCCTGCATTCTAGTTCCATCTCTGACACTGATTACATGAAGTATATGCCTTTGGAGTGACCCGATGCATAATCCTGACCAGCCAGCAGCAGCTGTACAGAACAGGGCAGCTCCCCATGGCCCTTCGCCATTTCACAACCAAACGTGAAAATACACCAAAATGTAAACAAGGGTGCGGAGCTGTCATGAAACCCAGCCACCAGCAAGCAGGGCAGCCAAGACATGCTGGGAGAACCTCCGGGAGGAGCGGTGGGGGGGAAGCTTTTGTCGTCACCGGAGACCGAAACCACCAGAGGAGTGCCCTGAAGGGAGAGTGGAGAGGGATTGCTCATGGGCCAGGCTGTGGTCTGAGGGCATTATCCCACCTCTGCTCTGAGCTCATCCCACAAACAGGAGCAGGTCAGGGAAGCAGTTTCACTCCCCATCACCAAGGCAGCTGGGAAGCCCCTCGTCTCTCTCACCATCTAATCCAACTGAAGAAGGCAGGATCTTCCCCCAGACACACCATCCCGAAGGGCAAGGCTCCTGCACTCAGCTTTCCTGGAGGGCCACCCCCAGGGCCCAAACCAAAGAGATGAACACCCCCACATTCTGATAAGCCAGTGCACCCGATCCTGGGGCAACAGCAGTTTCCCCAGCAACTTTAACGGGAGCAGGATCGGGCTCAAAGTGTATTACAGACACAGCATTGGCCCATCCTATGTCCCATGCTTTGGCGTCTATATTTCTTGCCTCTTCTTAGAAGCAACTCAACAGGGAGCAAATTCCATGGTGCCCACAGGCTGCGAGGTAGGCTAAAGACAGTCAGTCAGTCAGTGTGTGTGTGTGTGAGAGAGAGAGAGAGAGAGAGAAGAAAATAAAACGAGGGCAAAGGAAAAGGCAGAGAGAAAATGAGTGAGAATGTGTGTGGAAGAGGAACAGAAGACTGGTCTACACAGGGAACTTACAGCAGCAAAACTCCATCTCTCAGGGATGTGAAAAATCCACACTTCTGAGAGATGTGGCCAGTGTTCCCTCTAATTTTTTATGTCCATGTGCGGGACGAATTTTGTTATGTGCACCAATATGGAGGTGATGTGTGTCACGACCCTGTGTGACACAGCACCTCCATATTAGTGCGCACAACAAAATTCATGTGGTGGGGGTGGGGCCGAGGGGTTCAGAGTGTGGGAGGGGGCTCTGGGCTGGGGTGAGGGTTGGGGTGGAGGGGGAGGGTTCTGGCTGGGAGGGTTCGGGGTGGAGGAGGGGGCTCAGGGCTGGGGCAGCAGGTTGAGGTTGGGGGGAGGGTGAGGACTCTGGCTGAGGGTGCAGGCTCTGGGGCGGAGCTGGGGATGAGGGGTACGGGAGGGGGCTCAGGGCTGGGGCAGAGGGTTGGGGAGATGAGGGCTCTGACCGGGGGTGCAGGCTTAGGGCCAGGGATGAGGGGGCCGGGGTGCGGGAGGGGGCTCAGGGCTGGGGCAGAGGATTGGGGTGCGGGCTCTGGGGTGGGGCCGGGGATGAGGGGTTTGGGCTGCAGGCTGCCCAGGGGCTGCAGTGGGGAGAGAGGACTCCCCTCAGCCCTTTCGCCGCAGCAGCTCGGGGCTGGGGGAGAAGTGCCTCTCCCCAGCTGCGGCAGCTCCGATGGGGCTGGGCCAGGCCAAGGGAGGGGCTCCTTTTCCCTGGCTGGGGCTTAACAGGCAGCCACGTGGCCACGCAGCTTAGAGGGAATTTAGGATGTGGCTATACTGACCTAACCCCTGGGGCAGATGGCGTTAGGTTGATGGAAGAATTCTTCCGTTTATCTAGCTGCTGCCTCTTAGGGACTGGGTTACTGCCACGATGGGGAAACCGCTCCCATCGCTGTCGTTAATCCACCTCTCCGAGAGGTCTGCGTAACTCGAGGGTATGGCCTTTTCACACCCCGACCCATGTTGTCATTAAACCCACCTCCTTTTCTAGTGCAGACCAGGTCTGACGCACTGTGGCAGTGTAGACATACCCCGAGAGAGAGAAAATGAAAGAACGAGAGGAAGAGGGAACGGAGGAAAATGAAAAAGAATGAGAACCAGGCGCTGAGACAGAGAGAGGCTGTGCAAGCAGCTTGGGCTCTCTCCCCCCACAGGTCGGGACTCTGCCATTAATGAACGGAATCTTTCCCTGCTCCTGTTACCATATGGACGTGTTTAAATCTGGAAAGGGGAGCATGCGGGGGGAGGGGGAGCGGGGGCTTTTATTTCTCGATGGTTTCCATCCTGTCATCTTGAGTGATCTGCAGGCATGCTTTCCTGGCCCTGTGGAGTTATTGTTACACGTTTCACCCAGTTGGCAGGGACCCTCATCTGGCAGCCAGGGCAAAGACGGGAGAGGCAACAGAATTTAAAAGAGCAGCACAAGGCAAGGCAGATGGGACATTCTCTACCAGCAGCAGCAGCACCACCACCATGTGCGGCAAATCATCCTAGAGGATGCTCCATGTCCAGCCTTTTTCCTCCTCAAAAGGCTTTGGCTGGAGATGGAAAATAAGTGATGAAATTTCAGGGCCGGCTCCGCAATGAGTAACCATGGGGCGAGTTGCCAATGACCCTGGGAATATGAATCATGAGGGAGCAGCCCAAGCGTCTGTCCCATATCGAGTCCCCGGGGCCCAGCTTTCACGAAAAAAAATGTGACGAGCAACTGTGATTATGCAAAGTTCTTGATGGAGGGCCAGGACCTCTCGGCAATCAAGGCTGCTGTGGCTCTGCAGATGCCACTTCACCCAGTGATGGGCAGATGTCCAGCTTCCCAGATCAGCAGGACACTGTTCAAAAGCCTCCCCTCCTTCGGGGGTGCCTGAAGGCTTGTGTCCAACTGGTGGAGAATTCTGCAGAATTCACCCGGAATTTCCATCCTCTCCTGGTTAAGAGAAGATGGATGTGTGCATCCCCCACTGCCCTGAATTGGAGCTGAGAGTCCTCAACACCTCTGCAAAGAGGGGTCCCGAGTTGGGCACCAAAAGCCAAAGGCACCTCAAATTATTATGGTAGCACCTAGAGATTGGGGCATCATTGAGAGGAGTTTACAACCTAACTCAGAAAAGGAAGGTGAAACAGCGAGGTGAAGTGACTTGCCCAAGGTCACCCAGACCATCAGTGGCAGAGCTGGGAACAGAACCAAGACCCCTCCCATTGGTTCAGGCTGCCCTAACTAGCGACTTTTGAAAACGTGAGCTGGTAGGACCAAGGTGCTTAGTTAGGATGCTGCAGGCTCTGATTCAGCAAAGCACTTAAGCACCTGCCCATCTTTATGCACCTGGGTAGTCCTGCTGACGTCAGTGCAACAGACTGGGGCACATGCTTCTGCACCTGCTGAATGGGGGCCTAAGCCTGGCTGGTCTCACTGAATCTGCTGACACCCAGCAGAGGAAGGGAGCCCCCATACTAACTCAGGCCTGACTCTGGACCTGACTCCTGGACCCCGTCCTGTTATACTCCATGGTAAATAGCTAGAGGGACCTGCCTCCATGACAGATAACAGGTGGTTTGGGTAGGTTGGTTCATGCCATCTGGGGAACATTGTGTGTCTCTTACGAAAGCAAGACCCAGCAGCACGTCCCAGGCAGCATGGATGAAGCTGGCAATAGTACCGGCTGAAACATGCCAGGCAGCAACACAAACACAGAGCAACGAGAAACTGCACCAGCTGCACCTTCATAGCCTGCAGTGACACACGTCTGCAAAGCATGCACCGACGGGCTCGGCTGAAAGGAATTCACAACCTGGGATTCACCTGCCGAGCCAACCTCCCCGGGGAAAAGACTGACAAGACCAACAGCAGCAACAAAAGGAGGGATAATCTGGAGCCCACAGGCTCAGCAGAGGACATCGTCAGCTCATAGCATGCAAGGACGCAACTCGCTGGGAGGTGGGCTGTGGCGCAGTGCAGTCAGGCTGCGGCGGCAAATCCAGATGTGGCGCCGCTGGCTCGCTCCCAGTGATCCGTGAGATACAGTAATTAGCGATTTGTATTTTCAAAGCCCTTTCCCTGGCTGCGGCTGTGTCAGAAGGCGAACTTCTCCTAAGGGGATTTCTCATGCATTCAATCAGGATTCAAACACGGCTTGCTGCAAGTGAGAATACATTCTGTGCATCTCTCTCTCTCTCTGCTCCAATGCGCCTCGGAGGAGACCCCAGCTTTGCGATCACAGAGGGGGTAGGAGAATCATTCATGGCATGGGAGATGGGATGAGATACACCTGACCTGCAGAAACTGGGGCTGAAGAGCAGGAAACGTTTGGTAATGAGGAAGAGCCTCATGAGTTTGAAACATTGAAACCCAGATGGGACAAAACCCTGTAGAATATACGGCAGGGAACAATCCTGCATTGGCAAGAGCAGAAGACACAGGAGAGGCCTCAATACTACAGCTAAATGGTTATCTTAGAGCTGGGTATCGTTATTAAATAGAGCTTTTTGATTTCTCCTTTCTTCCTCTCTCTCTCCCCATGCTAGTACCCAGGCACCCTATTCTATGGCTTTCCATAATGGCTGTGGATGAGGAATTACTGAATCAGGGATGAAGAAGGGAAGCGTGGGAGGCAGGTGTGTGCAGCTTGGGAGAGCATAGCCTTCTCCCCAGGACAATGAGGGGTTTTCCAGGCCCAGCGCTGCACTTCCCCTGCCTTTCTAAGGTAAACACTCAACTCCTACTCCTGACTCCTAGGAGGCAGCCGGCTGTGGCCAGCCCTTGTAAGTGCTGCCAGGACTATTTTGACAGAGTTGTTGTTTGCTTGGGCCTGCCCTGGGATGGGCTTTTACTGGAGTATTAGCTCAGGCTGATTCAGGAGCTCCCTCTGGCACAGCCCCCTGAAGGATGCTGCCTCCACATGGGACCTCGAGCAGGATGTGCCTTGAGATTCTGAAGGAATGTCCCAAAGGCACCGAGCCTCCCTGAGACGATTATTTTTCCTCTCCTCAGTGCCCTTGGCTGCAGGCTTCCCTGCTAGAGGCTGCACCTCCCAACCCATTTCCCCACCTCGTCTGCCATCAGTGGACTTCCTGCAGGGTGACCAAGGTGGCTGCTTCTCTCTCTGGCCGCTCTCCATCTCCCCTCTGGCCACTGCACGTTGTCAGCAGCCCCGACTGCCTAATCTAGGCCAGGACTTGTGGGAGAGCTTGTGTGGGGACACTGGGTAGCACCGGCTGGGAAGCAAGAGAGACCTGTAGGGTCTGTCTGTGCCCAGATGCCTTAGGAGAATACCCTCCTGGCTTTCCCTCAGAGGGGGGAGATGGTGAACCTCCCTAGAGCCACAGCCGGCTCATCACCTGGCACACACAGACAAGGGATCCCTCCTTGGGGCTTAGGGGTCTAATTCTGCAGCTCCTCAGGAGCTGCTCACCTGCAGAAGCCTGAGTCAAGGAATTTTCTCTGCCTCCTCCTGCGAATTCCCTCCCTATTACATGCCCTGGCTTCTTTAACCCCCATCCCCCAAGAGAGGCATCTGGTCCCCTCAGGCTTCTTCCCAGGGCAGAACGGACAATTATCCTAGCCCAACCTGGCCAACAAGCCAGCAGAGAGTGCCCAACTGGGAATCTCATCCTAGCCTGTATGCCTGACGCAATGAGTGAGGCTCATCCCTGTGGCAGGTCCACAGGGCATCAAAGAGGGCTCGGGCTTTCACAAAGAAGTTACAGTAGGAGAGGCCAGGCCTAGACAAATTAGAGGATTGGGCCAAAAGAGATCTGATCAGGTTCAAAAAGGACAAGTGCAGAGTCCTGCACTTAGGACGGAAGAATTCCAGGCACTGCTACAGACTAGAGACGGAATGGCTAGGCAGCAGTTCTGCAGAAAAGGGCCTAGGGGTTACAGTGGACGAGAAGCTGGATATGAGTCAACAGTGTGCCCTTGTTGCCAAGAAGGCTAACGGCATTTTGGGCTGCATAAGTAGGGGCATTGCCAGCAGATCGAGGAACGTGATCATTCCCCTCTATTCAACACTGGTGAGGCCTCATCTGGAGTACTGTGTCCAGTTTTGGGCCACACTACAAGGAGGATGTGGAAAAATTGGAAAGAGTCCAGTGGAGCACAACAAAAATGATTAGGGGGCTGGAGCGGATGACTTACGAGGAGAGGCTGAGGGAGCTGGGATTGTTTAATCTCCAGAAGAGAAGAACGAGGGGAGATTTGATAGCTGCTTTCAACTACCTGAAGGGGGGCTCCAAAGAGGATGGATCTAGACTGTGCTCAGTAGTAGCAGATGACAGAACAAGGAGTAATGGTCTCAAGTTGCCCTGGGGGGAGGTTTAGGTTGGATATTAGGAAAGTCTTTTTCACTAGGAGGGTGGTGAAACACTGGAATGGGTTACCTAGGGAGGTGGTGGAATTTCCATCCTTAGAGGTTTTTAAGGCCCGACTTAACAAAGCCCTGGCTGGGATGATTTAGTTGGTGTTGGTCCTGCTTTGATCAGGGGGTTGGACTAGATGACCTCCTGAGGTCTCTTCCAACCCTAATATTCCATGATTCTATGTGCACATGGGCTGAGCAAGTGAATGAAGCAACATCTCCTCGGACTCTTACCTGGAGAAGGTGTTCCTGGCATAGTGCATGATGCTGTCGAAATCATACGTCTCGCCCAGGGACTCCACCTCTTCGGGCTCCATCTTCAAGAAGTTATACTCCTGCCCTGCGGAAACCGGGGGAGACAGAGATATGAATAAAACAAGGGAGGCAACAGCAGGAGGGGAAGGGCTTGGGAACCTGGATAAACCTTGAGCATGGGCTGATTACTGCCAGCTACCTCCCATGCCGGGCATGGGGCAGAAGGGAAGGGGAGGATAGACGAAGAGAACAGTGGAGAGGAGTGTAGAAGAGAGGAGTGCAGGGGCCTTTACCTGGTTGGATGTTCTCCCGGACGATGGACACGTGGTCATCCCGGTCTGGGCGCGTGTGCTCGTGCCAGAAGCCGATGACGTGACCCAGCTCATGAACCACGATACCGAACTTGTCACAGTTTTTGCCAATGGAGATGGCCTGGGGTCCCCCTCCTCTGTGGCCCACGTAGGAGCAGCACCTGGGGTGGGTGGGGAGGAGGAATAAGAGCCCCATCGAACCCCATGCGTAGCAGGAATGAGATCAGCCAGCCAATCAGCAACTCTCCTTAACTCTTCGATCACTGCCATTTCTGAGGGCAGGGCTCAGGGGGAGGTGCCGATATGCCAGTCTCCAAAGGGTTAATGGCCTTAAAGCTATGAACTTCCCTGGCGCTAAATGACCTGGGGTTAGAGTTAGGGTTCCATCCATCATCCTAGGATCCCTAGATGGGCAGGGGTTTGCAATCGCATGATGGAAGGTCGGGAGTAACCTGCGATCGTGGGGATACCCCACCTCCTCCTCCCATGACTGAGGCACATCTGGGAGCTGGGTGGAGTAGGGAGCGCCCCGCTCTGACCGTGGGGAAATCATGACCCTTTGAATGGTTTGGAACTCAGCGGGGCCGTAAGTGTTAGCGCTGTAACGTCTCCACAAGAGGCAGCACATCTGGAAAAGCATTACCCTCTGGAAACTTTGAATGGCCTGCCCAGGTTTTATTTAAATGAGAGCCTGTGTGACTTTAACGCGAGTAGGGTCTAGTCGGAAACTGGGAAGGCTCAGCACGTCCCACAGGGCTGAGAGGCCTGCAGCTGCCTGTGGGATGGAAAAGTGAAAGCTGGAAAAGTGAATGTCACCAGCAAGGGGGGAAGCTGCCCCAGGTGGGGATGGGGGAACCAGTTTGGATGGAGTAAGACCTGGCCTGGATCTTTGCCTGGGACCAGTTCAGGGTTAACCCCTAAGAGCAATTGCGTTTCCTTTCTGCAGCTCTGCGCTCTGGCCGGGACTGGAACTAGAAGAGCCAAAATACCACCAGGAAGGCTCCTTGGCCAGACTCCAGAGGCTCCAAGAGCTCTGACGAGGTCTGCAGGAGCATCCGTGCTGCTGGTTGCTGCTCTGAACCAAACCCCAGGATGCACCCGCCACTTGGGGCCAGCAAGGAGAACTCTGCACTCAGTGGGCCAGACTGCTTCACCTCCCCTGAAGTCATTGGACGCACCCTGGTCTATACTCCCATTAAAGTCAATGGGGAGATACTCACTGGCTTCAGCGGGAGTTGGCCAGTTCCCAATGGGATCAGAATCTGGCCCCGTGGCTCAGGATGTATGGACATTTCCTGGGTGATGGTTCTAACACCTTGCACTTTGTGACATGTCTCTCTCTCCCCTGCGATTAGAGGTGGGTCCTCGGGGAATGCCCTATGTTTGTCTACTCCTCTCCTTAAAGATTTGTGGAGTCAGCCAAAGCCACACCGGGCTGACTAGCCGCAGAGAGGCGCTTTCTCCTTTTGGAGGCCTGAATGTGCTGCCAGCAAATCAAGGTAAAATGTATACTTTAGGGCCTGATCCGGTGAGGTACTGCGCACCTCCTCTCAGCTGCTCAGTGCTCTCAGCTCAGCATGCAGGCTTCTAGCGAATCCAGCTGCCTCATTCAATAGCACACCTTATTCTATAGCTATGCATGCCTGAGGTGGAAGAGGAAGAACTGGATCTGAACAAAGCAAGCGACCAAGAAGCTGAACCCACTGTCACTTAACGAAGGGGTGAATGAATCCTAGGACCTGAGAGAGCCATGCTTTGGCATTGCTACTTATGCTGGCCAATAGGGGCTGCTCCGGAGCACGACCAAGTTCATCACTCCTGCTCCTCCACCTCTGCAGTGCACCAAGTCCCTGCTGGTTTCCCACCAAGAGGCTTCATTCCTGGGTAATGAGCAGGGCTCCTGGCTGTTACTGCCTGGCTGTGGGAGGAGGGTGGTTTCATTGCTCCTCTGTGGATTGACTCTGCTCAACCAAATATTATGCCCCAGAGGATTAATTAATAACCGTGCTTTATTGCATTTGTACCACACGCAGGTACGGGAGGAGAAGGCGGCATTCACGCAGCTCCAGCACTTGGGCTGGGGGGAGCTCCAAGCAAAAGCTGCCTCCCCAGCTCACCACATCTGCTGAGCACAAGCAGCACCTGCCATGCCGGGGAGCAGCCCTCCTTCCAGCTAGAGTTGACTTCTGCCTTGATGTGGAGATGGAACAAAGCAGGTTGGCCCCATCCTGTCTACCCAGCCTGGCCAGCCCAGGATTGATCCATGCAGTAGGCTAGCTGAAGGCCTGCAGAATCCAGCACTTCCCCTGGGGAGGCTGTTCCACAGCCTGATACATCTCCCTGTCAGGAAACATTTGCTGAGAGCCAGCCTTCATTTTCCCTTGCTTAATTTCATCTTATTTCAGCCCCCACCCCAAAGACTCTCCTCCTTTCTCGCTGACTATGCAGACAGCTATCGCATCCCCCACCTACTTTTCACTGCTGCTTCACCAGAATAATCAGACTGGGTTGTTTGAATCCATCCTCATTGTTCTACCATATTTTCCAATTTGCAGGCATATGCACACTGTGTACAAACGGGTCTGTGAATCACAGGAACATAGGGACCACCTAACTAGGTCAAAGCAGAGCTCCACCTAACCAAGAGCGTGGTCTCCAGCAGTGACCAGCACCAGGTGTTTCAGAGGATGGTGCATAAAACTCTGCAAAAGGCCAATGTGGGATACCCTGCCCTCCAAGAAGGGATAACCTGCCCTCCAAGAAGGGATAACCTGCCCTGAAGCATGAAGATTTCTCTCTCTTCCCAAGCTCTTGTTTTATTTTTTTCTTACTACTAGGACTCTGACTAGTCTTATTATCCATATACAAATCTCCAATCCTTTTTTCAACCTGCTAAACTCTTGGCCTCAAATATATCATGTGGCAATGAGTTCCACAGCGTAACTGTGTGGCAATGTGTTTCCTCTTATCCTGCCAGGAGGGCCAACTTGGGCAACTCCAATATGTATTGCTGTATTGAAAGGATCTTTGCACCCAGCTCCTTAAAAAAGAAATTCCCAAATCAGGCACAAAGGGCTAGATCCTCAAAGTAATGTAGGTGCCTAAGTTCCATTTATTTCAATGGGAGTTAGGTGCCTAAATACCCTTTGAGGATCAGGACCAAAGTTTCTACTGAGCTAGGGCACAGCAAACTCTGCTAGGCAGCGTTTCAATGCCAAGATACCTAACTGGGTCTAATTAGCGCTCCCACAAGCCACCACTCTGTTCACCGGCAGCTGAGTGTCATCGCACAGGGGAGGAGTCCATCCCTACCTCTGACAAATGGATCCCTGCCACATCTGGCCCCAGAGCCTGACCTCCCCCAACCTGGCACTAGAGCAGAGCACTGACACACTCTGCATCTGGAAAGGATCGCTGCGTACCAGCTGAACGATCACAAGCAGTGACCCCAACAGACGGGACTGCACCGGAATGGCACATGTGGTCTGCTTCTAGCACTGGGCCTGGGCCTGCAGCAAGAAGACCTGTTAACTTTAATGAGACCGTCTGGGTAGGCAAGGACTGCAGGATTGGACCCCATAGCATGCAATGGTATATTATGGACCTGCTCTTTCAAATGAGGGAGAGTCAGATAAGCAGCATAGTCTAGTGGTTAAGGTACTAGAGTGGGACTCCAGAGATCCGCGTTCTATCCCTGGCTCTGCCACTGCGCTGCTGGCTGACCTTGGACAAGTCACTGCCCTGCTCTATGCCTCAGTTTCCGCTCCTACTTTTTGTCTAGTCCTGTCTTTTCCGATTGTAAGCTCTTGGGGGCAGGGACTGACTCTCACCATGTGCATGTACAGCACCTAGCACAGTGGGGCCCCAACACAGATTGTGGCTTCTAGGCCTTGCTGTAATGAAAAGAATAAAATTTCCACTGGCTGCCTGCAACTTGGAGGCCTGATTCTCTCCTCGCTTTTACACTACGTAGCTACTTGACTTCAGCAGAGTTACACCAGTGTGAGAGGAGAGTCAGGCCCTTTGTACGCACTGCCAAGCCAGGCACCCACATTTCAAACTTGGCTCATAATTTTCTGCCACCTTTCCTCTGAATTCCGATTTGCCAATGTCTTTTATAATTAAAACCATGATTCTTAATCCAAGGCCCTCCTTTCGCCCCTTCCATTGGAGGATCTCAAAGCACTTGACAGAACGAGTCCTCCCAGTCCCCTGCGGGGGCAGGCCCATGCTGTCATCACTACTGGGCAGATGTGGAAACTGAGGTCCTGGGTGGCAAAGTGATGTGCCCAAGTCCACCCAGCAAGTCAGAAGCGGATTAGCGCACCGGTGCTTTAATCACTAGGCAATGCTGCCCTACTTGTTAGGCTGGGGTTTCCAAAGGGGTCCTATGGGAGCTCAGCTTCTATTGAATTTCAAAGTGAAGTAGGTACCTAACTCCCCTGGACTACTTTGAAAATCTCAGCCTCAGTTCCCAGTTTGGGCAATTCTGTCCAGGGCACAATGTCCCCCTGGGCTCTAGTGAACGAGAACCACCTCCTGCCCGGCAGCGGCCTCAGCCCCACTCACCCACATGGCCTGTGCGTGAACACTATGTAGCTCTCCTCAGCATTGCGCTCCAAGAACGTGACGCAGGTGTGCTTCTCCCAGTGGCGCATGGCCTGCCGGAAAATTGCCCGCTGGCTGCCTGCAAGAGAGGCAGGAGGAGACCAGGAGTTCAGCTCCTTACACTCTAAGCCCCATGGGCTTTTTGTTCTCTGTTTGTACAGCACCTAACACCAGGGGGCCCTGGGCCATAACTAGAGCTCCCAGGTGCTACGATAATAAATAATCACAATAGGCCCTGCTGAGGTGGGTGAGGAGCAGCACAGGAACACATCTGAGCCGGACTTGTCGCAGGGGTCCTACAGCACCTGACAGAGCAACGTGCTGGATTTTCAAAGGAGCCCAGCACCCAGCAGTTCCTGTTGTTCTCAGTGGAAGCAGTTGCATGCACAATCCACAGGTCTCTTACCAAGGGAGGCAAGAGTCATCATTAGGGCTTTACCAAATTCACGACTGTGAAAAATGCGTCACAGACCATGAAATCTGGTCTTTTGTGTACAGTAACTTTCCACTTAGCGTCCTCTCGCTTAACGTTGTTTCGATCTTACGTCCCTGGTCAATTACAGAACATGCTCCATTTAAAATTGTGCAATACTTCGCTATAACGTCGTTTGGCTGCCTGCTTTGTCCACAGCTGGCAGCCCCCCTATCAGCTCCCCTATGCCCCCCCCCCAGCGCCTCCCACCCGCCGGCAGACCCCACGGATCAGCGCCTTCCCCTTCCTCCCCCCGCCTCCTGCCCGCGGCAATCAGCTGGCTTGCGGCGTTCAGGAGGGAGGGTGGAGGAGCGAGGACTCGAGGCGCAAGCTCCCCCTCCCTCCCCTCCTTCCTGAATACCACAAGCCAGCTGATTGCCCCGGGCAGGAGGCAGGGGAGGGAGGGGGGAGAAGTGAGGACATGGCGTGCGGTGTTAAGGGGGAGGAGGGGGGGGAAGAAGAGGCGGGTTAAGGGTTGGGACTTGGGGGAAGGGGTGGCGAGGGCAGGCTGAGGGTTGAGCCCCCCGCCCCTGGTGCTTGCAGAGTAGGGGAAGCTGCCGCTCCTGCTGCGCAACGTGCTTCTCTTAGCCTACAGCACCTTCAGCCTCCTTGCCTGCCTCATTGTCTCCAGTGCCAGTGGACTGTGCTTGTGTGGGGTAAGGCGGGGGCACCTCCCAACTATAGTACTGTACTCTATGGCAAAAAAAAATATCCCTGGAACCTAACCCCCCCCCCCCCCATTTACATTCATTCTTATGGGGAAATTGGATTCGCTTAACATCGTTTCACTGAAAGTCGCATTTTTCAGGAACATAACTACAACGTTAAGTGAGGAGTTACTGTACTTTTACCCTACACCATACAGATTTCACCAGCATTTCTCAAACTGGGAGTCCCGACCCAAAAGGAGGTCACGGGGGGAGGCGGAGAGGGGGTTTACAAGGTTATTGTAGGGGGTCGTGATATTGCCTGCCTTACTTCACTGCTGCCTTCAGAGCAGGGCCGGCTCCAGGGTTTTGGCCGCCCCAAGCAGCCAAAAAAAAAAAGCCGCAATCGCGATCTGCGGCGGCAATTCGGCGGGAGGTCCTTTGCTCCCAGCGGGAGTGAGGACCGCCGAATTGCCGCCAAATACCTGGACGTGCCGCCCCTCTCCGGAGCGGCCGCCCCAAGCACCTGCTTGCCAGGCTCGTGCCTGGAGCCGGCCCTGCTTCAGAGCTGGGTGGCCAGAGAGCGGCGGCTTCTGGCCAGGCGCTCAGCTCTGAAGGCAGTCCCCGCCAGCAGCAGCAGAGATGTAAGGGTGGCAATACCATACCATGCCATCCTTACTTCTGCACTGCTGCTGGTGGCAGCAGTGCCTTCAGAGCTGGGCTCCTGGCCAGCAGCTGCCACTCTCCGGCCACCCAGCTCTGAAGGCAGCAGTGCCGCCAGCAGCATAGCAGAAGTAAGGATGGCAATACCGCAACCCCCCTACAATAACCTTGTTACCCCCCTCACCTCTTTTGGGTCAGGACCTCTACAGTTACAACACTGTGAAATATTTAAGTATCTGAAATCATGACATTTTTTAAATCCTATGACTGTGAAATTGACTGGGCCCTAGTCATCATCAGCCCCATTTTAACAGACTGGGAAACTGATGCACATGGAGGGGAAGCCACTCAGAAAGTCCCATAGCAAGTTGAGAGCAGAGCTGGGAATAGAACCCAGGTGTCCTGATGCCCAATCCCCTGCTCTAACCACTGGACCGCACTGCTGCTATGTCAGAGCCCTTCTCTCCTCAGCAATAGAGGGTGAGAAAGGAAAACAGCCTGGCAAGGAAATGTGCGCTCTGGGCGTACTGAGCCAGGGGGCCCAGCACGTGCCGATCACCCCCACTCACCACTGAAGTTCCCGCTGATCACGTAGGGAATGACCCCATCCGGCCACACCCTCTCATGACGGGAAGTGGCGGCACGGCGGCTTCGAGACCGCAGCTGTCCCTGCCTCCATTGCCTCTTCTGCTGCCTCCTGGACTTCAGGCTGGTGCTGTTGGTGCTGATTCCTGGGGGCATGAGAGCAGCGAAGGCATGGGGTGTGACCATGGAAGCATCTCATTTAGTCCTGGTGACCTGACTGTCCCCAGGCCAAATTCCTCCCTGGTGTAACACCACTGACTTCAGTGACGCCAGCGATGGACCTGGCCCAACGAACCCAACACACCAGACCGATCAATAATCCCTGCTCCATTACATCTGTTCTGGGGTGATGAATCCAAGGCCCAGTTTGAGGTCATGAGAACAGGGACTACGATGAGACCACCGAACTCATTTCAGGAATGAGTCTACATCACACTTCACAGGATGTGACCACCCCGCTAGCCCAGATTATAGGCAGGATGGACTAATTACTCGTCTAGCATGGCCTTCGCCAAAGCCACCAGTTCTCTACAGCGCCGAGGAGACAGCGGCTTTGGTCCCTCTTGAGCTGGATCGGGTCGGGGCAGAGCAGAGGCCAGCTAGTGCCCCCGGGATCTCAAGCGACGTGTGCTTGGCTTGGGAATCACAGCCGTTCCAAAATTTTGCCTGTCTCTGTAAGAAAATGAAATAAAAGCAGCTGGGGCACACCAAGTTCTTTGCCTCCAAATAGTCTGGAATGCTGCCATCAAAGGGCTCAGGGAAGATGCTACCTGTCGGGATGGGCCAGGGTTGCGATGGGACATGGCGTGGCCAAGGCCGCACAGACGGGCCTCCTGGCAAGGAGACAGGGCACGGGCTTGCTGATTTCGCGACGGACAGTATCCAGGACAGGAGTCAAAGGAGAGCGAGTTGCCACAAAGCCGCCCCCACGTCTGTGGGAAAGGGCGTAGGCACTGGGGTTATGCTGTGTCCTTAGCTCTGCCCTGGGACCAGGGCCGGCTCCAGGCACCAGCGTAGCAAGCAGGTGCTTGGGGCAGCCAATTCAAAGGGGCGGCACTCTGTCCGGTATCGAGGCGGCACGCCTGGTTCTTCAGCGGAAATTTGGCGACAGGTCCCTCACTCCCTCTCTTCCTCTTTGAGCTGCTGCCAAATTGCTGCCGAAGAGGAAGAGAGGGAGGACCCGCCACCGAACTGCCGCAGAAGAAGCGGCACGGTTGAGCTGTCGCTGAAGTGCTGCCGCTAGTTTTTTTGTTTGTTTTTTTTTGCCGCTTGGGGTGGCAGAAAAGCCGGAGCCGGCCCTGCCTGGGACCCCGACTGGTTCATAGGAAGAGATTTTTCAAGAGTGACTTTGGATGCCCAATTCAAGATGCTGTAAAGGGGCCAGTCACCAGAGGGCGGGGGCTCAACACTGTCTGAAAGTCAGGCCCCTTTGGATGGTCTCGGACCGAGCACCTGAGAACAGAGGTATCCCAAGGACTAATCACTTTACAGAATCTCAGCCAGAACGGACCACGGGGCCCACTTTGGTGCATGAGGTAGGAGAAACTACAGATGGAGAAAACCTGTTAGTTCCCGACTGGTCCATTGCCCCCAGGGCCCATGGCAGGACTGCCCCCTCTATTTCCCAGCGCTTTGCCTAGCCCAGCTATTACAGTTCCAAGCAATGGGGCATCTGCTCTTCTCTTTGGGGAGAGTCTCCCCACAGCCTAATAGATCCCACTGCCAGGGAGACAGCAAGACTCGAGGATAGATCCCCAGGAACTCCAGGGGAATGTGAATGGTTAAACAGCTTCCCTGAGGTGCCTATGGGAATTGGCCCTGGTGAGCTGGGGTACCTTTGTCTTATCCCAAACGGACGTGCAGCCTGCAAATATTATCAGTGGACCCACGCCAGAGGTGGTGGCTCCCTTTTCAATCTGTCTCAGGACTAGCAGCTGAGCTAACAGTGGAGCAGCTTGCAGGGTAATGACCCCTGCCTCTCAGCAGGACGGGTGGTAGGGTCTATGCAATCCTTCAGCCCTGGCCAGGCTGTTCTGTTTATCTTCGGTGCGGGATGGGAAGGATGAAAGAAAGGCAGGAGAACAGGGCTGGGGAGCCCAGCCGTTAGGGTTGCACCAAATGGCTCCTGTGCACAAGTCACTAGTTAAAGGCCTGTGGTGAACAGAGCTAGAACAGGAGGGTCTGTGATTTGTATGTGACACAGAAAGAGAATCCTGGAGACGGGGACGTGTCCTTCCTACCTGTGGCTCTCAGGGCTAAACCAGCAAGCTCTTTGGGGGCTGGGATTATCCCTTTGTTCTGCGTTCGTACATTGCCCAGCACAATGGGTCTTGGTCCAGGGCCTGGGCTCCTAGGTGTATGGATACTACAAATAATCATGATATCAAGCATCTGAAGATGAGCGGGGGAGGAATTAAATCTCTTCTACATCTTGCTCCTTTTAAGAGAGCTACAAGATAGGCCCCACCAGAGGCAACCAGGACATGAATAATAAGCCTCTGTGCTTCCTATCACTCGAACTCAAAGCACTGTGTCAAGACGGGCCAGTGTTGCGATATCCATTTCCAAACTGAGTCACACAGGTGACATGACTCACCCAACATCACGCAGTATAGCAGTGGCAGAGCCAGGAACTTGGGGCTGGAGGGCACTTAGTAATCCTACCAAATAACGAGAACTGTGAAAGACTTTGGCAACCCCCCTCTTCTCCAACCCCCGTATGTGGTGCATCTAAAGGAAGCACCAGGAAGGGACCACAGTAAAGAGCTCTGTCAGCTGAGCATTCGCTACCGCTCTGAAGGTGCTACTGTACCTGAGGTGTTGGTGGCTGTTTTCTTGACGGTGCGGCGTTTGAGGTCCACAAGTCGGTCCACTTGGAATAACCTGAGATCCTCCTCGTCCAACGCTATGTCTCCCAGAAAGGCAGCTGGAAAACGGAAAAGGGGACAGGCTGGTTATGGGGCAGAAGTCATCGGGGTTTCAATTCTGCTGCCCTTCGAGGGTAGGCGTTTTATAAGGGGAAAACTGGAGTTTGCAGTCATGGGATATTATTCAAGCTGACCGGTTGGGAAGGATCAAGAAAAAGATCAGATACTCAGGCCTGGGTTTTCAAGTATCCTGCAGCCACTGCTGGGCCAGATTTTCAAAAGAGCTCAGCTCCCATTGCAATACTTACGGGTGAAATGTCCCAGCACGTGGCCTTTTGCAGCACGTATGTCCCACTGAAGGTAGAAAACGGGGACTTTCAGGGTTTCAGTGATGCACAGGGTTTGTTCTGGCCCTCTGTCACCAGGAAGGCTAAGACCAGCACCTAGCTGCCAGAGCAATCAATGCTCTAGAAACGGGGCTTTAGGTCTTGGTTCCAGGGTCCCATATGGTCCCATAATCATAGCCCAAGTAGAAGGGGCAGGAAAGTGACGGACAACTGGTGATGACTTGTAGGCATCACAAGACTGCTCTTGTGATTCTGTCACAGAGTCTCGCTATATTTGGTGTGTTTCTCAAGGCACTTTCTAACCACAGATGAACATGGTTAGGTGAGAATCTCCACTTTTCAATTTTAAAAAAAAAAAAAAACGGAAAGTTTCTAGCACTTATGGTTGCAGAGAAAAGCTTGAAAACAGGACCCAAACTAACACTCTAAAGGACCCACGATGTAAAGAAGGTAAAG